CGGCCATCCCAGCGGCCGCCCTGCCGCCCGTCTGCTACCTGCACGCACATGGGCAGGTGTCGGCGGCCGCACTGCTCTACACGGGCGGCGTCGTGCTCTTCGCGGGCTCCATGCTCTACGGCATGAGCTACTACTTCCGACGCATCATTGGCTTCATCTACCTCAGCGAGAGCGGTGGCACCGTCAAAGTGGCCCACCTGACTTTCTGGGGACGGCGCAGGGATGTCCTGTGCCCGCTGGAGACCGTCATGACGCTGGACGACGTTGGGGACAGCAAACAGGAGCTGCTGCGCCAGTTCAGGCGGTACGATAGTGCGGACATCCTGTATTTTACACTCAAGTATGGACAGATTGTGGATAGAGAGCGGTTTACTCAGATATTTGGAGAACTTGAGTGATGCAGCAGCTAATGCCGACTGGTTGTGACTTCTGTATTCTTCCAAGAAGTTTATTGGCTGTATGGAACTGATGCAATTCCATGGTTCTAAGCAAAGTCTTCTGGTAAGCGAAAGCAGAAGTGGTAAAGAATGAGTTAAAGGTGTGAATGAGTTAAGGTGCAGGCAGGATCTCTTGTCTGGATCCAGCAAGTTTGTTTCATGCACAGGCACTGGCAGCTCAAAATCTGCATCGCAGTGCTTGGATCATGCAGTCGCAGGTGCCTCCTTGACTGAGTGCTCCTGTACAGTGAAAATGTTTAAAGGGAATGCAGCACCATGGCAGAGCATCCTGACTCTTAAGTGACTGTTTTTAGGAAACTTTGGGCCAATGAGCTCCTGAATTTTCTTTCAAGTAAGTGTATGATAAGGACTGCTAGATGCCACACAGATATAGCCCTGTGGTAATGAAATCATGGGATGATTGGAAAGGCAGATGTATAATGCTGTAGCAGTTTTTCTAGCAGATAAAATCAGCATCAGAGAAACAGTATTTTGACCAGCTTCTCGTGAGTGCTTGTGTTAGGAAGATGGGTCTCTTAGCAAGCTCTTCTTGGAGGTGAAGTGACCCTGCACTGCAGGAGCGCACACTGCAACTTAGAGAAAGGTAGAGACTGGGGCAGCATTTCAGGAGCTTCTCACAGAAACTGGTTTCCTACTAAAATGGAGAGGAAAAAAAAAAAACACTCCTGAACCTGTCAGTTACAGGGACAGGGTATGATCCCTTCCCAAGTGCTCTTTGTAACCTAATCGTCATTTTCTGCAGCCTAGCAGGTAAATGCCCCGTATTGCACGTGCTCATGTTGCGTTTCCTTTAGGCTACTGTTTACAGTAAGCTAAGTAAACTAAGTACAAGCTTCCTGCCTGCACTGCTCTTCCAGCCCTCACTTCATTTCAAACAATTGCAAATAAACATAGCCCTCAGAAAAAGGGATGTTTGGTGTGTTCTTTTTTCCCCATTTCTCCTTCAGGTCTATTGGAACCTCTGTCTCTTGGTGGGGTGGAACAGTAGATGTGGATAAGTAAAATTGCCATTAAAATGTGTGACCACGATTTCATATTTATTACTGTTGAACTTTTCATAATAGCATCCAAGTTATTTAAAGTTTTGACTGATAGAGCGGCACAGCACTATCAAGACAGAAAAAAGAAACTCTTGTCTTAGCCACGACACCAGCAAGATACCGGCTGACTGAAGTGGGCTGTATGTACACTGTATATGCAGGATACTCATCCACGTTAGAGTATATTTAGTATGCACTCAGTGTAAAATAAAAGGCTGAGGAGTTCCTTTATAAATATTTTATTTAAGAATATTGATTACACATGAGATGTCATTTTATGGATCTGTGTACAGAATTATGAGTTACACCATGAAGTGTAGATAAGTATTTGTTGAAACGCTTATTTGGCACGGTCCACAGTATGCTGTAAACAATATTACCTTTATGATGCTTCAGCTGTAGAGCTTTATGTGTTCTCTAACATGACTTCATCAACATGTTGTACACAATTATACAGTTACTGAGTGTCAGTAAAAATTATAAAAACACCTAGAGTATTCATAATAAAAGTGAAGATGTGGTAAGACTTCAAATTACTGGACCTTTGTTTCTGTAAAAGTACAAGACTTGCTAGAGATGTTTCCTAAAACTACTGCACTGATATGTTGGACAAACTAGTTTCCAAAAGGAGGTGGGATATATTCTCAGTTTGACTTTCCTCCTGATAACAGTGTGCTCACTAGGACAGCAATGGCAATGAGGCTCCGTTGACCACCTGTTCACCAATCCTCTGTGGAAACCCTGAGATTTCCACAGTATTTGTTCAAAACCTGCTCAGATTCTTGCCAGCAGGCACCAGAAGTCTGGGCTCTGTAGGGAGTATTACAGAAATTCCATTATTTTTAAGCTAGCAGAAGGGACGTTTCTGGAGTTGCTGCATACCTGTACTCAAAAACTGTAAGGGGAAGACCACAATTAACACTAAGGCAGGTAAGAAACCTTGCGTAATTTGGTAGCTTTCAGAAAGATTTATAAATCCCTTAACTGCCTCGTATCTTACTACATACTTAAAAAAATTGTGGTTAAAATGCTGGTAGGGCCATAAAGTCAGAGGTGGTCCTTGTTGTTGCATAATATAATCAAAATTGAGATGCTTGTTAGGTAAGGAAAAAAAAGGCACGGGGCACAGTTCAAGTCAGCCTTAAGCCAGTAGCAAAGAGTAAGTATCAAAGAGATGTCCAAAACAATTATCTGAAGATAAACAGATTAATTAATTGTCGACACTTTTTGATACAGTGACTTTCTAGGAGCCCCCTGAAGCACTGTGCTTGCCTTAGAATAAAATACTAAAGCAAAATAAACAATGTGCTGGCCCTGGCATTTCAGCCTTGACTGCAGCGGCTCTGGTCTGGTAATGGCTAAGATAAAGCAATTCAAATCTGCTGTATTTTCACAAAATACCTTAAGGTATTTGTGTAGAACTCGTAATATCTACATGAATGGCTCTTACGGTGCATTACAGGCAAAAAGTAAAACAATCTCAGACCATTTGAGATTGCTGATGGAGGTGGAAGTATGTGCTTCATGTGATAGTCTAAGCTTTAGTAAACAATGCACTTTACATATAACTGTCTCTGTACAAGTTGATTCTAAGAGACAATCCAAAAGATTTAAAATCCAGGATGAAGAAAGAAGTATCAATAGGGATGAGGAAAGAAGTATCAGTACTTCTCTTCCGCCTACAGCGCTGCGCGTGGGCTGAGGGCACTGGTGTCCCTGCAGTGTTACCTGTAGACTGAAGGCTGGGCACAGTAGTTGATGGCATCCTGATCCAGCTGGCCATGGCAGACTTCTGTATTTGGGGGCATAAAGCTGGCAATTATGCTGTAAAATACTGTACTTGGCAGTGGTGGGAAGCAGAACTTTCCTTGGAACACCTACTTTATCCCAGTGACCGTTCACGAGCAGCGCTTTCTGTGCGGCAGGCACAGGCCCTAACTTCATGCCGCACTTGCAGGTTTGTTGCTGCTTCTGGACATGCCTAAAGCTATGGTAATCATCTGTGAAAACATAGATTGTACTAGGTCGTATTCAGACTACCTAAGAGTTGGGGCCAGAACGCAGGGAGGACCTTGCAATTCTTATGACCCAAGCCTGAAGGTGGGGGCTGCGGCCTCCACGACGGCGGGGTGCAGGACAGCTGCTGGTGACCAGGACCAGGGCTCGGCCATGTCCAGTGTGCCTGGAGCTGCTCACCTTGGGCAGGGCCACAGACAACACAAACCTCGGCTTATGACTACACTTATCTTGTAAGTGGAGAGACATGAATTAATGCAAACTAATCTCGTAATCTGAGTTGTTCAATGCAAGGGAGCTGCTTTTTACTTGAAGTTCGCTAAGATGTCACTGAAAATGTTCAGGAAGAGATGTGCGTGATGGTCCTTGAAGATCAGCGTTGGCCGAAACCGAATCGACCTGTCCCCGCAGCCTCCCAGCACCACACCTAAGATAAGAAGAGCTGCTTTAGTCCCTTCACTAAGGGACTAAAGAGGCAGAGGAACATGAGAGAGGTCAGAAATAACGTGCATCCTGCATTGTCTCTTCAGGAAGGTGTGATATAAGGAGGAGGTGGACATTGTGTGTGCCTGTATGTTTATGAAAATGACAGTATTTTCAGAAAAATCTAATTACAATCTTGTTCAGCACTGGCTTCTAGTGCACATAGTGGCCTAGCGCACATATGGCCTAGTGCACACGGGCCATATAGAAAAGGAAAATCTAAAGCATTATATCTCCATCTGTTTAGCTTCAAGTTACTTTACACACAGACATTCTTACCTTTGTTTCTGGCTATTGTAATTAATTTGTTTCTAGTTGCATCATTTGGAGTGTCAAAGGAGCAGAACGTTCCTCTTCCTCTCACTCTGCTGATGAGGTGGGGGTAGCGAGCCTGCAACGAGACGCCAGGAGCCACGTGTGGCAGCTGCTGCAACAGAGGGCACCTGGCGCCTGCTCTGCCCGCACATCCTGCCCACGGAAAAGCTGCTTCCTCTCAGTCCTAGAGAGTAGCACCTGCACAGCCTGATTGTCTGACAACCTTGTGTCCTGTTCACCCATTCCTGACAACAGTATGCACAGCTAGAGCAGACTAGAGCTGTAGAGCAGGCAGCTCTCACGTCATCTCTTTACAAAGGAGCTAAACACCTGACGCAGGGACTGAATTTGAACCCCCTGAGCTGGGTCAAAGAGAATCTTTGAGCTTCATGAATTGAGCGTAACACAACCTGCATCTGGATGTGCACTCTGGGCAAACCTGAACAACCTGGAATGGGTTTAGAAACTCACTCATCCTCACGCTGCCGCAAGGCACACTTACTCTGCTCCACTAGTAACTGAGTTACAATCCTTTTATTCAAGAGTAACTGTCTTGGTTGGATAGTGTAAGTTTGGTTTGGATAGTAGAAATAATAGTATATATATTCAAAAAAGTATAAAATATTCTATAAAGCAGCATTATATAAAAACAACTGTATAAAATCAGCATTCTTGAGATAGTAACAGAAAGTTAACTTCAATTCAAAATAGGACATATTTATTCAGCCTTTCACTAAAGTATCTAAACCAGGAGGTTATGATCAGTAAATTGTTTCTAATCCACTTTTCTCCTATAAGCAGATAGTAAGCATTCCAAATGTTTACCTGTAAATCCAGGAGCCCGGTCAGTAGTGCTTTTCCTGCATGGACTGCATTGCTGAGAAGGTCTTCATTTTTAATAACCTTAATAACTTCAGCAAGCATAAGGTTCTTGGATGGATCTCCAAGCCAGGTGTTAAAAATACGGTACGGCTTAGGAAAAGGTGGAGAGTTGCATGTTAACAGGCCAATCACCATAGCACTCTGCCCTTAGAAGAGCAAGTCACCAAGCTGGTAATAAAACCAGCTGCTATATCAAAAAACTTGCTTATCTCCCCAATGCCTTTTATTGTTCCTGTTGTTGTAAAAGCAAAAGACAGTGCCTGTCCTGCTCAGCAAAATCAAAGCTGGACTACTGTATGCAATGGATTTAGTGTATCTTCTCTTGCAACTGACATCTCATTGAAACACTGCGATAGATAACAGGGAATCAGCACCATCTACACAGCTTTGGCATTCAAGCCTTATGTCCTCCCATTAGTTCTTTTTCTTTTTTTTTTTTTTCATTTATTACATCTAAAATGATACTATTGATATCAGGAAGAAACCTTGCTGACAGACTGTGCTTACCTGCCAACTCTGAAGATACCAAGTCTCCCTGCCCCAGAAAGGTGTCAATTTGTGGCCAGATTTGGTACTGAGGAGTAGTTTATTAGGTAAGGTTCTCTCTCTCTCTCTCTCTCT